AACATTACTGCATTTATTATATGCAGAGTTAGTTCTGGGTTTCACGTTATTTCATGTAATATGAAATGCTCTTCTTTGGAGATGGAAACTTTCAGAAAATGTAAATCCACGTAAATGAATTATAATTGAGTAAAATTTTACGTTAATTAACTAGTTATTATAATTTGAACTTTAACTTCATATTTTCATAGTTCTCACCAAAATGTAAACTAGTTATTTGTGTATTTAATCAGAGGGTTTGAATGTTTTACAGTTGTGCACGTGAAGGAAGCACCTCAGTGCTTAGCGTACTGTCCTTTAAAGGTACAACTGTCCTTTTTAACCTCAAACCCTTTATGATCTTCGAATATGTGACTGTTGCAAGAATTGGGATATTTTATTTATTTTAAAAGCAATTACTTTACACTTTTTACAGCTAACTACATAATACACTGGTGTGCAAAAATTAAGGACGAAGTCGAAAAATTAGCATATCAGCTGAACGAAGAGGCAGAGCGGACAGAAAGACCAATCAGGAGATTAAGTAAGGTGATGTACGGTAGCACATGCGCAGATATGCAGGTAGACGTAATGGGGGAGTGTCTGAGTAGTATATAGCATGTTGTCGGTGTAAGATCAGTATTTCTGGCAAAGAGATTGCACGTCGTATAGCAGTTAAAATCACACCGCGTTTCTGCCTCAGCGAGAAATGGCCGAATAATCAATCTGTTAGACGACATCTGGTTACCCGAGGTCGAATCATTGGGAAGTTGGAGGAAGGCAGACTTCGGAATTGCTCACAGCATCGTTTCACGACTTTGGAGACAATTTCAAACTACAGAAACAGCTAACCGGGGGTTTAGTAGTGGTCGTCCACGAGGAACCACACCCGCAGATGACCGGTATATTGCCTTACAGGCCAGAAGAAACAGGCAGCAGACAGCGGGAGAAATCGCTAGACACACGACACAGGCGACTGGACGACCGATATCGCGTTTTACCGTGGCCAGAAGACTGCACGGTGGTGGTCTGTTTGCACGACGCCCTGTATGGTGTGTACCTCTAACGCCTGCCCATCGGAGAAGGCGTTCTCTGTGGTGCCGGGAACACCGGAATTGGAGAGACAATGAATGGGGACGAGTACTGTTTACAGATGAGAGCAGATTCAGTCTGAGTAGCGATTCTCATCGCGTACTCATCTGGAGAGAGCGGGGAAGCCGCAATCATCCCTCGAACATCATTGAAAGGGACAGGTATGGAGGTGGCGGTGTTCTCGTTTGGGGAGGCATCATGCTTGGTAGTCGTACAGACCCTCACATCTTCGACGCAGGTTCAGTCAACGGGACCCGTTATTGTAACGAGATTCTTCTTCCATATGTGCTTCTTTTTAGAGGCGCTATGGGTCCGCAGTTCCTTTTCATGGACGACAATGCACCATGTCATCGCACAGCAGCTGCCGAACAACTGTTAGACAGTGAGGATATTGAACGTATGGATTGGCCGGCACGATCTCCGGATCTCAATCCCATCGAACATGTATGGGATTTTCTAGGCAGACGCTTGGCAGCTCGTACCTTACCACCAGTAACGATTCCGAAACTTCGATTGGCGCTGCAAGACGAATGGGCAGCAATGCCTCAACAACTCGTTGACACCCTCATTCTCAGCATGGGCAGACGCTGTGAAACCAGCCTAGCAGTCAGGGAAGATCATATCCCCTATTAAAGACCGGATGTTTCTTGCTGGACACCCATCACAGGGATGTTTCGGCCTTCAGTCGCATTGCGCTCCATGCTACTTTTTCAATAAAGCTTCTTTTTATCCCTCTGATTTCTCTTTTAGTAAGTGTTGCTTACATTACTCATGTCCTTACGTATTGGGGATCTTACGGTGTTAAATGTGTTGATTTGGAAAGCTTTTGTACAAAGTTATATTGAAAAAACCGTCTCGTCCTTAATTTTTACACACCAGTGTATAGCTGCTTTAGAAACTAGTACCCAGAAAGTTTGTGTTGCCACAAATATTTTTGTAATTTAATCCGTTTTGTGACAAAAGTTTTCGCCATGTTTTCATCTTGCGCGCATGATATTTTGAAAATGGCTAATGGTGTATATACTTGAAATCTAATGGAATTCTTTACACGGGCACTATTTTCTAACTGAACCAAACATTTGACGAATATTTTAGTATTAAAAAAATTTAGTATTAAAAATACGAAAACATTACAGATTTTTTTAATAAAATACATTTTATAAACTCAGCTCCAAATAAAATAAAAATTTAACATGAAATTTTTAGAATTTTAGGTTCACAGTAGTTTCCAAATTTTATAAAAGCTATATATTAAATATGGAATTAAATTATGCAACAGAATGTTTTAAATTGTGCGCGGAGGGTGGAAACTTGAAGAAAAATTTTGTCACAAAGCGGATTAAATTATAAAAATATTCGTGGCAACACAAACTTTCTGATTACTATTTCAGAAAGCAGTATTATGTAGTTAGCTGTAAAAAGTTGGAAGTAATTGCTTTTAAAATAAATAAGTTATCCCAATTTTTGCAACAGTCACATATTCGAAGATCATAAGGGGTTTAAGGTGTATGAGCCCCCTTAAGGTATTTCTCCCGTTTTCCTAGCATGCCTTCCTGGTGTAATGGTCAGCACACTCGGCGCGTGTTCGAGAGGTCCAGGTCGAGTCTCGGCAAGGGTATTGCTCATTTCTCACCTATTCTGTTTTAAATTAACCTAATGTCAATACAGTCCTACGGACGATGAGCCTGAGGGTTCGAATCTCCACGACAACTTCAATTTTATTTCTTCTTGACAAGGCCATCCCAGGTTTCTACACACCTGCTGATGTACCTATTATTCGTTTATATATGTATTATATATATAAGCTTCCCCCCTCCCCGCTTTACGTTTTCCTCTTAGAGGGAACAACTGAAGACTTATATATGTGAGTGGCTTTTATGACATTATCTAATCGAGCCGGACACGTTGCTCTGTGATATTCTCGGACCAAGGACCAAGGCGTTTGATTACGAAGTACCTTTGAAAATTAATTGCAATTACCTTCATATCATGATTAAGAAGAACGAATTGAATAAGAGTCAGCATTAGCTAAGTAATGAAGAAAGAGAATCGTTAGGGTTTTAATACAAGAGCTGAATAAGAGGTGAAATTCTCGGCCATTTTTGATAGACTAGACTAGAGTAGTTTTAGAGCTTCTGACAGCCTCGCGTTTCAGCTACGCACTGTCGCCAGCTCTGCCAAAGTTATTCCGGCTTTAGCATCTTATTAGCCGATGTTTCGAATACTCGCCGTTAATTATCTTCAGCCATCTTAATCTGGGTGGGTAGTCTTATGTAGTATTAAGCAGTGTGTGTGTATTCTCAGTCATTTGAATTTATCTGTATCTTATGTTATTATCCGCAGGTACCGGATGCTCGTCTGTCGCATAAGTAGTGGCTTCTGTTTACTTAAGAGGAAGACAAAATGGTTGTCTTAACCTTTCTTAAGACTTATCATTGCTTCAGACTAAAGCGATAACTCGCTTCTAGTCTAATAAGGTCTGCAAGACATTAACACCAGCGTACGGACATAGCAAAGCCCTACAAATGTTTCTACATTTTTGGCTTTCAAAATAGAAACAACTGCGTAACGGAAGAAGCTTGTAAGAGCACATAAAAGTAAAACACTTCTTCCATATTATCTACTGCTAATCATCAAAACAGACTGTTATTTTACCAACTGCCTTCAGAAGTCTACGTCTGCAGATCGATATCATTAACTCATCGCTTTATCATTAACTCGACCAATCGCCGCAGAGTTAATGATAAAACGATGGATTTAGTCGACAGAGCAAAAGAATGGCAGTGGATGACTAAATTTAAGTAAAAAGTTAAGTTCTTGTCTCGAAATTCACAGAAAGTGCAATTAGCTTATTGCCTTGGGAAATATGGCAGGAACTTCTAGTAAGTGGCGTAAGACAACTAAAACTCTAAGCCATGCAATTTATAACCTATTTATACTAAGATGGAGGAAGAGATAAGAGCGAAAGGCACTGAAATTGCTCTCTTCTAAGGATGGCTCGAGCTTCCCGTGCATTTTTCACTGAGGTAACCAAGGAATGTTGCTATACGTACTTTAGCTGGGAGCGAAAGGTCGTCATGGTAACGTCTTTTTTTTCCCGGTGTTTAACAGTTGGCAGAAAAGATTATTTTCCAGGTCTCCTCTTCGTAGACATACGCACTTTTAAAAGTTGAGGGTGATGGTGGTTATAGTGATGGGGGTATATAATGTGGCAAGACCCAGTTATCCAATATCTAATCTGAAGATGGATTAAGTCGCGTTCGAAACGTGCCTCGGCTCGTTTGAAAAATCCTACTTTTATTTATTTGAATGAGGCAGCAGAGAACTGCAGAGGGGTATGGGGATTATATACCCAAGAATGTGCAGTCTATCCAGGATATCTGAAATAGATATGCTTAGATGGATAAGTCTCGAACGAAAGTGCGTCTCGTTTTGAAAAATCCTACTTTTATTTATTTGAATGAGGCAGCAGAGAACTGCATATAGGGAAAAGAAACTTCTAAGCTAATGTGGTCTGTATTAATAGTGGATTTAAGCTATTGTAGTCAAGCAATTATCTCGCAGAAGCCACAGACGAAAAAAAAAAAAAAAAAATGAGTTTGGATATAATTTGCTACCACTATAATGCATATGTTAAGCAACATATTGATTAACCTTTAGAAAATTGTATATATATTCCTGAAATTAAATTTAATATGATATGATTCTGATAATTACACGTCATTGAAAAAATCTCATGCATGAAATCAGATTTTTGATATGTTCAATATATTTAGTTACATTTTGGGCTTTTAATTATTGGTTGATTAGTATCAGATTTTTTTTCAAAAACGAAAAGCTTTTATACAAATATTTTATTCATTGCCATGTGCGATTAACACTTTTATTGCTTGCGAAAGATTATTTTATGCTGTTATAATTTTTCTTAGGTACAAACAAAGTCAGCACGTGATTGGTGGACAGACATGGTTGCGATCAAGGTTAGCATACTACAAGGTATTCTCTTGTACGACGACATTAACTCTGTCTTCTCGAAAGCAACTACTCCTTTTGTGTCTTCGTTTCTCCCACTTCAGTAAGTCAGTGACGTCAGCATTGGGAAAGATTCTAACCTTGTTTCTCTATTCACCTTGATAACAATAAAGAAACATAGTTTTATTCACAAATAGATATTCGCATGTCGAGCCTCCTGATAGCGGATAAGTCATAAATACTCAAATACAATAGAAATGCAAAAGATTTACTCTTACTCTGTTTTTATTTTGCAAAATCAAAACAGATTTATTTATGTCTGTGGTGATAATTAGTTTTCAGTGGATGTTTTATTCATTGCCATGTGCGATTAACACTTTTATTGCTTGCGACAGATTATTTTATGCTGTTATAATTTTTCTTAGGTACAAACAAAGTCAGCACGTGATTGGTGGACAGACATGGTTACAATCAAGGTTAGTATACCACAAGGTGTTCTCTTGTTATGGCGTCATTAACTTTGTCTTCTGGGAAGCAACTACTCCTTTTGTGTCTTCGTTTCTTCCACTTCGGTAAGTCAATGACGTCAGTATTGGAAAAGAGTCTAACCTTGTTTCTCTATTCACCTTGATTACAATAAAGAAACATAGTTTTATTCACAAATAGATATTCGCATGTCGAGCCTCCTGATAGCGGATAAGTCATAAATACTCAAATACAATAGAAATGCAAAAGATTTACTCTTACTCTGTTTTTATTTTGCAAAATCAAAACAGATTTATTTATGTCTGTGGTGATAATCAGTTTTCAGTGGATGTTGCTGTTGTTTTGACAAGCTAGATAGCTTGTCTGATATCAGGCAAACCCACGAAATGCCTCCTGGCAAGGGGACCAAGATTGCGAATGTCGTTGGGGAGAGCCCTGGGCACCACACTGCTGACTATACGACTTTGTTCAGTTCCTCCCCCCCCCCAAATTCTACAGAAAAGTATCCTGGGGAAGTTTGATCCGAGGGTCTATCTTCCCCTACCACTAACCTCTCGAGAGGACTTCCGACTCTCCGCATATTTGGAGAGTCCAAATGCCGCACATACACAATACATTTACAAATATCCATGCCTTCTCTGGGATTCGAACCCGGAGCCTTCGATACAGCAGTAAGAGTCACTAACTACTATCTCGGTTGGGCAGCTGCAGTGGATGTAGCTGATACTACTGTGGATGCAAATCAGGATCAATTCCTGCAGATGTAAAGAAATGTTTTCAAGCCTTTGTTTGGTTATTTAAGGGAACTAATTCACTTGAATTAAGCAATATGGTCTTAAAGAAAAAAGGTCTGTAAATTCATTTTCCAAAAAGCTTAAAGCCATTTTAATTGATACTAGTAAGTTCACTAACGAATCGAATCACTAGTTCACTAACGAATCGAATATGCGAACGCGTGAAACTCGCTACGGTATGAAATGCATGGAAATGAGACTAGAAGAATTAAAAAGTAGAGAATAAATTCAACTTTAAGGTTGGATACACAGTTTGAGACTTGGAGATAAGATTATACGAATATTAATTTTATCGCCAATAAGTAAATCATTCTTACTCAATAAATCAAAATAAATCACCCTTAAGAAATGATCAATCCTTAATAACCATCGACCATAATAAATAAATCATATAAAATAAAGATTAAATAAAGGTGGATCAAGTATTTTATTATTTTATTTTATAACATGATTCAGATATTGCACAACAACGAACAATATAATTAACAAAATAAATATCTGCTCATAAAAGAATTAATCAAAAACTTCACTGTACATACAATATTTCGGGTAAAAACTCTGACAAACATTGTTAAACACTGTTAAACGCAGATAGGGAAAATTCGTTCATGTTTTCACGTTGCAGGAAGGAAGCAGGGAAAAGAAGAATCCCGCTGACCTTGATCAACTGAGTACGTCCACGCCCGACACATTTTTTTTTTTTTTTTCGTTTCGCCTTTTCTAATATAAGATTAATCAATAGGTATGATTGGATTTTTCAACCATTAATTATGAAAAGTTTTAATTTAATATTGTATGAATGTTCTTTAGAAATATTAATTATTTTAAAGTTGTCATAAATTCTAAATAAAATGTTTATTTTAGTGAAGTTTTTTTCTTAGTTGCAGACGACAGCGTATTATTGTTAATTACGATATCTTAAAATGAAATTTTGTTTTACATGCTTCTAGAAAAACTGTGTTGATAATATTATCTTTTATAAATATGTATTTATACATATTCTTTTTACCAGTTAAAAATATACTAACCATTTTTCGTAAAATATTTATTCAAATTAAATTACAGTTTTTATTCATTTACTATTAAAAAGAACAGAAATTAGATGACTTAAATGAACTGTTTCTTGAATAAATTAATTTCAAAATTTAAATATGCTGTTTTTGATAGTATTGAATTAAATATATTTTAAGCATTAAGAAAGGTTGTTTTATAAATTATTGAACTATTTTTTTATATACCTTAAAATGTTTTAATACTGAAATTCCTGAAATACTGAATTTCGCCGAAAGACCATAAGTTGAAATATTTCTAAATAATAAACTTTGTCTGCATTTAAAACGGATGAATTTATTTCCCACATCAGTAATATTAAAAGCGGAATTTCCAAACATGAGAGATAAATCATGTGCTTACTTTAGAACAAAATAAAAGCAATTTTCACCATTTCTCCCCAATGTAAGCCAAGAAATGCTTGCCAAAAATATTTTCAACATGAAATTCAATATACTCGTAAAACATGTCGCAAATGCATGAAAAGCCTTTCAGCACAAAAGCTGTCATCAAAATATCAGCCATTAACTATGGAATGTTCATGATCGATTTCACATTACACTCCTCATTTATACGCAGTTGTTTATTGACTCAAAAAGGATTTAATTTTCCCAACTTTACGTAAAAAAAAAAAAAAAAAAAAAAAAAAAAAAAAAAAAAAAAAAAATCTGAGATTTAATATTACGCCTAATTGGGATTTTTTGTAACGTTTTGTGTGTTACCTTTATTTATTAAACATCATGTTCTTCGCACTTAAACCATAAATTTCAGTTCAACAGCAATATCGAAAATCATTTAAAAAGAGCAGATCTTCAGAATGTCCGATACGCAATCTAGTGTGCTGGAGATAAAAAATGCTTTTCCTCTCCCCGCACAGTGTTGCCATTGCTCGCTTTGAAATTGCTGAGTTTCTTAATCAAAAACTCATAAATGCTTTACAAAATCAGAAATGGATAATAAAACAAATTCCAGATTCCAAATTTGGGCTGTCAGATGCCCATATTCGGGTGGAGACGTACGTTATTCAAAATTGGATGGCTCTAGGTACCCTTGTTTTATACCAATGCAAGAAACATACTTTTTTTAATGCAGATTTTTCATTATTTAATTTCCTTAAGTATAATGCAGGGCGATATTATTTGGTGGCAACAATCTGAAAAGTGAAACGCCGTCTGTAATAAAACGTTGCAAAATGGCAAAACAAATAATATCCTTTCTTGGCTAAAGCTCTTTGGACTAAAAAGACTAACGCTGAAGTCAAATAAAGAATACAACGTAATGTGTGTAGAATTTGCTACATAGTTTTATCTTTCGTAATAACACAGCTCGGGAATTACTTTGAAGTAATTTCTGACTAAATGAACTTTGAAGTGGTGCATGCCTGTGTAGAATACCTCATAATTGAAAATGTCAAGCTTATGTCGCGTTCTCTTGCGCAAGACGCGAACACTTCATTAATCACGTGGTAGTTTCCGCTGTTAATTACTCTCGAGAGAGGCTGCCTATGTTTTCAATAACCGCAATTTCTTACTTGGTTAATTAGCATACGAGAATTATTTCTGCAAAAATATTAAAGTTCACAAAGTTATAACTCATTCGGTTAGATAGAAGAACGAAAATTCTTGCCCAGAGTTATTATGAGAGAACAGACTTTCGCTACTTTTTTAACTCATTTATCATCGCTACTTTTTTAACTCATTTATCATCGGTGTTCTTATTACAGCAAATGGAAGGAAAGCATGATACTCAAGATTTCAGAAAAAGTGTCAGAAATTCAGAACTCAAGTGTCAGAAAGAAAATTCATAGTGGAACTGTCTTTAATTTTATAAAACGCTGCAAATGTTTTGAGACAATTTCCAATGATTTTGTTTAAAAAAAAAAAAAAAAGCGCTATTTTATCCAAAAGTATATCATTTACCTAAATGAAATGCTGCCCAACCGGTATAGTGGTTAGCGTGGCTGAGTGCCGTGCAGAAGGGCCCGAGTTCGAATCCCAGAGAAGGCATGGATATTTGTAAATAGTAAACAGTGTCCGTGCGACATGAGGGCACTCTAAATATGCGGCGAGCCGAAAGTCCTCTCGAGAGGTTGTTGGTAGGGCAAGATCTGTGGGAGACCTTTGGACCAGTTCACTCCCGCCGGGGTGCTTGCTCTCCATCAACTAAGTCGCACTGACACCTGTAAGCTGCTCAAGGCTGTTGCGAACGACAGGTGTATCTTGCGCTCCCTGTCACCAGGAATTGATTATAGGTAATTGACTTGGGCTGACTATAGGTAAGAACAAGTCAGCATTAGTCAACAACACCAACATAAATGAAATAATAATTAATAACGAAATAGGAAGCAACAATCGTAGCGCCATTTTTTGCACAATGTAGTAAAATAAGTTAAAAATGTTAAGAAATCTTTTAGTATTTTCGAGGGCGGGGACGTTTAAAGTCAAATAAATTTGTTAGAATCTAAATCGGTATTTCTCAAATACTCGTATTTTGGGAGGACACTGCTTCTTTGTTTGAATTCCTTTTTTTAACGTCATTAGCATTTTTTTTTTTGGTACGTGTATGTATGAGGGTATAAAATATATACAGGGTGGTCATATAAATGCTCTTGCGATATTGTATATACGTATCCCGCTTACCACATCTAAAAACTTTTATGCGCAAACATAGGAATAAACATAGGAATATTAGAATGGTCCCAGATTCTTCGTGATAAAAGACAGCACAATATTGCTTACAAAAATGAAAAAAATAACTCAGGTAAAGATATTTAAGCAATAAAGTAAGCAGGTCAGTATTTGCAAGAGAACACCTATATTAGGTTCGCAGATTAGATGACAGTATTGCAGATGGATTTAAAACCATGTACCGATAAGAATAAATATGGTGCATTCTCCTGCTTATAAGCATGGCGAATGGAACACGCAATTAATCCTCTGTGATTTATGTAATTTTTTGTAATTTTTGTATTTCTCACATCTATAATGCTTCTGGTTTGGTGACTATTGGTTAAATTTTTACATATTTATTGGAATTTCGGATTTTGATGGTTTTGAATTTTATTTCTTTCGTGTCTTTGTGGATTAGATTCTAATTTCTTATCTATAACTGATTAATTACCAGAAACATATTGCTTGCGTGGAGATAATATCAGCATAATTTTGTTTTAAAATTTTTTAAAAAATTTATACTTTAATACTTGTAGCAAAGTATGGTTTTTCAGATCTACCAAAGTTATAGCA